GGTTAAAAATCCGAACGAAATCTCTTAAATCTTAATAAATAATAATTATCTGTTCATTTACTGTTATGTATATAAGGATACATTCAGATAAATGCAATTTTCCAAACCACAAGGGTCATACAGCATTCACAGGGTGGATTATTATCAAATAAAGCACTTAATGACAAGGGTTATGCAGTGTTGTGGGGTAAAAAATAGTGCCAGGGCTATAAACAGGTGGAGAGGGGATCAGGGGCAAGAGGAGAAAAGGGTTGGAAGGGACACTAGGGGCTGTGTCAAAGTTCGTACAGTAAAGTAATTGCTGACAAAAAGTCAAAAAGTGATCGTAAGTCAAAAGCAGGGCAGTCTGCAAGAAGAGAAGATAAAGTAAGAACGGTAGGGTGGCAGCGTTGGTGGAGGTAAATCCTGTGAGTTCGCTGGTAAACCAGGCAGTCCACAAGAAAGTGAAAAAGGGACCCGACAAACCTCAGGGAGAGGAATAGGGTGTCATTCCACGAGATACCGATGGGTAAGGCGAGTTATGGCCGATGCAGAGACGGGAGAGCACAGTCTCCCGAGTACGGCAACGGTAGTAAGATGGTCACAAACCTAAAAGCGATTTAATAGAGTGCAATTTGTTATGGTGCATGTCTGACTACCATTGTTGCCAATGGCCGCAAAGACGAGCAGAGATGACTAAAATAATCCCTGAACGGAATACATCTACAGGACACCGGGAGATCACGCACTGCTGACCGTGCAGCACCATCCACCTGTTCATTGCCCTGCACATCAACATGTCCATATTAAACTTAAACAGGGATAAACACTCCCATCAACAGTTGTGGGAATTATTATTATCATGGGGGAGCGCTAAACCCGTAGGATTATACAGCGCATGTGGGAGGGAGGGGATGGAAGGTATTCAGACTCAATTCTGGGAACTGGAGCACAGATCAAATTCCCTAGATCAAGAGCCCCTCACCAGCATCAAGGAACCTTCCTTGATGGGGCGGTTGTGGGCAGACTGCTTCATAGGGTGGAATAGTAAGACAGTAGTCCAGCATACGACTAACATGCTCGAGAAACATCAGATTTAGAATTAGCTACCACAGCACCTAGTTTGTGAGCCATATCCATCCTGTGGAAGGTAGTGGCTATTGCACACCCATATCCATCCTGTGAATAGCAGCTCAAGAGCACATAGATACAGTCCTGGGAACTAGGGCTCAAAATAAGGGATGACAGGAGTATACTGTATCAGGATTATAGCAACCCCTGAATGGGTCACAATGTATATAATGTATTATTATTGTAATCAAGGGGGAAGCGCTAAACCCGGAGGATTATACAGCGCCTGGGGGGGGGGATGTGGAAGGCATTCAGGCTTAATTCGGGGAACTGGAGCACAGATCCAATTCCCTAAATCAAGAGCCCCTCACCAACATCAAGGAACCTTCCTTGAGGGGGTATATAATGTATATTACCTATTAATATAATTTTATATTGCTTATATTTGCGATGTTAGCTAAATTGTAAATATATTGCTTTATATTATTATTTGACTTAGTTATATTATTAGGTAGGATGAAACATTTATATATTTTTCAGTGCTCATTGCTCGAGTGTTAAGTAGCTGACGGCATTGTCTAACGACTGTAACTACCGCTCCACATGTTTCGCTGCCGGCTTCTCTGTAGTTGCTGGGCAGCAGCAGTCCACGGAGAATCACGTGATCAGGGTGGGGTGATCACACCTCACCTGGGTGAGAGGACTGCGTTGCCTTCGAGAGCTCTCTCTCTGGTTGATGATGATTCCAACACTTCCCTCTCCAGCTCTCCCTTGTTGGATATTATTATTATAATCAAGGGGAAGCGCTAAACCCAGAGGATTATACAGCGCCTGGGGGGGGGATGTGGAAGGCATTCAGGCTTAATTCGGGGAACTGGATATATATTATTCTAAATCAAGGGGAAGCGCTAAACCGGAGGATTATACAGCGCCTGGGGGGGGGATGTGGAAGGCATTTAGGCTTTAATTCGGGGAAAAAGAGCACAGATCCAATTCTCTAAATCAGAGCCCCTACCAACATCAAGGAACCTTCCTTAGGGGCGGGGAACTGGAGCACAGATCCCAATCCTAAATCAAGAGCCCTCACCAACATCAAGGATCCTTGAGGGGTCTGTTCACAGAGCTGCCTATATTATTTTATAATCAAAAAAATGAGCATAGCCAGATTGTGTTTTCGACGTTTTACTGAGTGTGTGGCACACTGACACTTGAGAAACTCAGTCCTGAGCTGTAGCTTTGACCTAATTTGTCCTGTACTGGACCGTCACATCGGGATTTTCTTATGCTGAACTTAGATCAGTAGTATGGGAGTTTTGGGACTTTTGTGGAGGATCTGCAGATGGTCCCTACTTATGGTCGTTATGTTATCTCCTTGCTCCTCAATCTGTGTTGCTACTGCTTGTTATATTGCTGTTCGGCGAATCGGTCCTTTTTTCTGTTCAAACAAGCTGTTCTGATTGCCAGGTTGGTCAAGAAGTTAGTTTATGTGAGGACTTTTAGTCAGTCATTGGTGAAGTCTAGTCGAGTCTTGAGACATAGCGAACTACTTAGAGCACTTACAGACATACACACATACTCACTTGTATATATTAGTATTATGTTCTTAAATGATGACAATGTACCAGACGGTACTTAAAAGCCATAAAGATATGATATGTACCTTCAGCACAATACTACTGTACACGAGAGAAGTGTAGGAACTTGTATCCTATATTATGTTAAATAGATTACTTTGATATTGTCCACCTAGACAACTTTATCTTTATTAATAAACTTCTTAAATTTTAATTTCTTTAGTTAGTAGCCTACCAGTTGTAATCCTGAAGCACTATTGAATATTACTATTAAATTCTAATGGATAATTGAACAAGGATACTGACTACTTGTTACAAAAACCCAGTAACAGGCTGGATGCTAGAAGGGCAGTTCTTTCTAGTATTCACTGGAGATCTCTATCATTATTAGATATCGTATTTTTTGTAACAAGGATATACAGCATATCTACAATTCGCATTATGTTTGATACCATATATTTTCATGCAATATATCACTTAGCTTATTTTCCTATCTATTACTATATTCCTTAAGTGGACAATCAAGCACATAGTGTTCCAGCAAGTGATAAGGCTCACCACATTCTGTGCATTTCGTGTGATCATCAAGTGTCTACCATACTGCCGGAAGTATTGTAACAAAAGTCCAAGCCTGGCTACTATGTCAGTCAATCTACGCTGGAAGTGTTTACATTACTATTATCATCACAATTAGGAGCTAAACCCACCTGAGTCATAAAGTGCTGTCGTTATAATAATGAAAACCAAGCACTGTTCAGATTCATTACATACTTCTCCGAAATATTACTCCTAATACTAAACACACATATAACCAAGATATATTTATACAGCTTCCCTCAGGGTATTTGCTTTTCATTGTTAAATTATTACATATTCGTAGCAGACAAACCCACATAGGTCACTGAGTTCTTCAAGTTTGTTAAACATTAGACAGGTTAATAATAGACAGTGTTATAACTATATTTATAAGAAAAATAAACCTGTGAGAGGAAACGAGAATCACATTTGATCTGAGGAACATGAATCATGATTGCAAACAAACCATACCATGGGCGGGTTTTAACTCCGCCCGTGGTATAGTTTGATATGAGGAAGGATATAACAGATCAAATTTTTAGAAGCAAGTCCCTATTAACTGAATTAAGGCACTGCCTGTTCCTTCCCTCCTGTCTGCCTCCCTTCCCTTCTTCACTCTATGAGGGGGGAAAAAAAGTTAAATATTTTTGTACGAAAAAACACAATACCATATTTTTTATGATATTCAAGAATATTCAGTATTCTTGTTTACTGCATAAAGGCATATTCAGTAAATTTATAAAAATTTACAAAAATCTAAATTTATTACTATATACATAAAACATATTGCATTTAGGAGGGTTATCTGAACCATGATGTCTGCACATTTCTGGCAAGAGCTACTGAATAATGATGGTGAATGTGTTTCTTCATTTTAAGAGTCACCCTACTTTAATGGGAGATGGCTACTGTTAATAAAAAATAAATAAAAAAAAAAAACACATCCATACTTAATACACCTTGGCTACCATTACTGAATATCCATACAAGTATTAATATGCCTTCACTACATTAGCTGAATGACCCCACACAGGTCATTCAGCTAATGTAGTATAATCTTCATTGAATCAGTTGGCAATGCATTTTAACTACTCTGTTACTGCAATTATTAGCTGGTCGTTACTGTAACAGTTTTTTTAACATGATTTCCCACCAAGGTGACTCAAAGAAGGAAAATATTTACCATCGCTCATTCTATCTTCCAAAAAAGTGCAGATATTAAATTTCAAAATAATTATACATATAATAATAATTATACAAGCATGCGTGAGCGTGTTAGATAGGAGTGAATGGAGACGAATGGTACTTGGGACCTGACGATCTGTTGAAGTGTGAGCAGGGTAATATTTAGTGAAAGGATTCAGGGAAACCAGTTATTTTCATATAGTCGGACTTGAGTCCTGGAAATGGAAAGCACAATGCCTGCACTTTAAAGGAGGGGTTTGGGATATTGGCAGTTTGGAGGGATATGTTGTGTATCTTTATATGTGTATGCTTCTAAACTGTTGTATTCTGAGCACCTCTGCAAAAACAGTGATTATGTGTGAGTGTGGTGAAAGTGTTGAATGATGATGAAAGTATTTTCTTTTTGGGGATTTTCTTTCTTTTTTGGGTCACCCTGCCTCGGTGGGAGACAGCCAACTTGTTGAAAAAAAATATATATATATATATAGTATATATAAAGGAGAAACTTTCGATTTTCCTTTTGGGCCACCCCGCCTCGGTGGGATACAGCCAGTGTGTTGAAAGAAAGAAAGATATATATATATATATATATATATATATATATATATATATATTATATATATATATATATATATATATATATATATAAAGGTCATAGGTAGTAGGTTGGTAGACAGCAACCGCCCAGGGAGGTACTACCATCCTGTCAAGTGAGTGTAAAACGAAGCCTGTAATTGTTTTACATGAAGGTAGGATTGCTGGTGTCCATTTTTCTGTCTCATAAACATGCAAGGTTTCAAGTACGTCTTGCTATTTCTACTTACACTTAGGTCACGCTACACATACGTGTTTTTTTTTTTTTTTTTTTTCAACAAGTCGGCCGTCTCCCACCGAGGCAGGGTGACCCAAAAAAGAAAGAAAATCCCCAAAAAGAAAATACTTTCATCATCATTCAACACTTTCACCACACTCGCACATTATCACTGTTTTTGCAGAGGTGCTCAGAATACAACAGTTTAGAAGCATACACATATAAAGATACACAACATATCCCTCCAAACTGCCAATATCCCAAACCCCTCCTTTAAAGTACAGGCATTGTACTTCCCATTTCCAGGACTCAAGTCCGACTATATGAAAATAACCGGTTTCCCTGAATCCCTTCACTAAGTATTACCCTGCTCACACTCCAACAGATCGTCAGGTCCCAAGTACCATTCGTCTCCATTCACTCCTATCTAACACGCTCACGCACGCTTGCTGTACACATACGTGCACAAGCATATATATACACACCCCTCTGGGTTTTCTTATATTTTCTTACTAGTTCTTGTTCTTGTTTATTTCCTCTTACCTCCATGGGTAAGTGGAACAGAATTCTTCCTCCGTAAGCCATGCGTGTTGTAAGAGGCGACTAAAATGCCAGGAGCAAGGGGCTAGTAACCCCTTCTCCTGTATATATATTACTAAATGTAAAAGGAGGAACTTTCGTTTTTCCTTATGGGCCACCCCGCCTCGGTGGGATATATAAAGGTAGGACTGCGTGCCACCTCACTATATCACCACTTCATTATGCTTGATAAATCTCTAACCTTGCTCATTAAACTTTATTATCCATTTTTTTTTAACCTGAAGTCTTTCTCAAGTTTTATTTATAACCTTCAGGCAAATTTGCACAAAATTATTACAAAATAAAAAAGTTGAGCAATGTGTGTACTGTAAATGTAATATTTTTTAGTCCTACCTATACTATATATGATAGTGTAAACATATGATAGTGTAAACATGTTATCAGGATTTTATATGCATTTGAAAGTGAAAAAAAGGCTGATTCACTTTACAGCAATTTTTGCTTTACAGCAGTAGTCTGGAACCTAACCTGCTGTAACAGCGGGGCCCTCCTCTACTGAACAATCAACTTAGGATTAATTTTCTGGAATGCTCACTCTAAGTATAAGAATAAACAGTGGGAGCTGACAAAACTTTCTAAATGCTACTACATTATGGAATGAACAATGGAAAAACTATTACTATAATATTGAAGGAAAGCTGATAACCTGATAACCTACATAGACAGAAAGAAATAAAAGTTATATAATATAGTTAATTAGATTAACTGCAAAGGAAAGGAAGGTTGATTCTTCCATTGACTAGTTAAAAACTTATTAGTATCTTGTCACTGTACCCTGATTAAACTGTAAACAGAGGAAACACTCAAAACAGTTAAAAAAATAAACTTAAAGCCTGTATAATACTTTATGGGGTTATTGTTCTCATCATAGATGTACTAGTATATGGATACCGAAATTTTTAAAAAATTATAAAGACATTTGTGTTGGAAATTAATCTTTCAATAATATACTGCATTGTTTTTCTTAACCCTTTGAGGGTCGACAGGCCCTCTCCGAAACTCGTTCTCAGGGTCGGCCAAATTTAAAAAAAAAAAAAAATTATTTTCTCTTATGAAAAGATAGAGAATCTTTTCCCGATCATAACGACACCAAAAGTTTGAAATTTGATAGAAAACTTACGGAATTATGCTCTCGCAAAGTTAGCAGTCTCGGCGATGTTTACGGATCGGCGATTTTGCCCACTTTGAGCCCCATTTTCGGCCAATTTCACTGTACTAGTCGACAAAAAACATGAATATTTCGCTAGAACTCCATTTTTTCTATCGAATGGGTGCAAGAAACCACCCATTTATAAATTCAAACTATCCAGTACAGTGGTCAGAATTTAGCAATTTTGCCAATTTCACACAAATTTCAAAAGATGCCAATTTCGGAATAGGGTCCAGAATAAACAAGAAAGACATTCCTGGCACTAAAATGACATTTCCTCTAGTCATTAGTCACGTCTCAAGGCCCCTCTTATATTCTTTTGCTTTCCACTTTGAATTTTTATTCTCACAAAAAATATAAGATTTACTGTTATGCAGACTACTGCATTAGTGTAAAAATGGTATAAATATTATTGGTGCACTTGTGAAAGAATATTAGACTCACCAGTTGACGTGTATTGCACGCTTGGCACGATTTGTTTACTTTTGAAGTTTGGTAAAAATCGAACATTTCTGCTACTTTGAGCTCAATTTCAAGGCACCTTTCTTTGTAAAACCAGTCAAAATCATCTCAATTTCTGTAGTATGTCTTCCATTCTATAAAATGAGACCAAGAAAAACTAGAATACAACAATAAATACCATACGAAAATACACTGCAAAGTCGCTGATTTATTAAAAAAAAATGGAAAAAGTTTTTTTTTTCTCATTATGCACTGTGTGCTGCAGGATTTTTTTTAGACTGTGCACACTGACCACATAGACCCATTCTTTCATATGAAGGCCTACCAGCTTTCTCCCACTAGATTTGAGGTCGCTAGAATTTATGAGTACTAGTACGTCAAAAACCCCTACGCGTAAGACGTACTAGTACGACGAAAACCCTCAAAGGGTTAACACATCAGCCATCTCCTACCGAGGCAGGGTGACCTAAAAGAGAAGAAACACTTTCATCATCACTCGTTCACTTCAAAACTGTCTTGCCAGAGGCACGCTGACACTACCGTTCAGTTGCTCCTCCAAAATGTAAATATCCCTGCCTCTCCTTCAGAGTGCAGGCACTGTAACCTCCCACCTCCAGGACTCAAGTCCAACTAACTAGTTTCCCTGACTCTCTTCCCTGCCAAGAATATATTCCAGATAACTGTCATCTTAAAGTGAACATACATAAGAGTAAGGTGATGAGGGTATTAAACAATTTAGATAAAGAAAGGGAGAGGGAGAGGGAGTATGGAAGAAGTAAATGTTTTCAGATATTTGGGAGTTGACTTGTCAGCAGATGGATTTATGAAGGATGAGGTTAACCATAGAACTGATGGAGGAAAAAAGGTGAGTGGTGCGCTGAGGGATCTGTGGAGACAAAAAAACGTTATCCATGGAGGCAAAGAAGGGAATGTACGAAAATATAGTGGCACCAACACTCTTATATGGGTGTGAAGCTTGGGTTGCAAATGCTGCAGTGAGGAGGTGGCTAGAGGCAGTGGAGATGTCCTGTCTAAGGGCAATGTGTGGTGTAAATATTATGCAGAGAATTCGGAGTGTGGAAATTAGGAGGAGGTGTGGAGCTACTAAAAGTATTAGTCAGAGGGCTGAAGAGGGGTTGTTGAGGTGGTTTGGTCATTAAGAGAGAATGGATCAAAGTAGAATGACTCGGAGAGCGTATAAATTTGTAGTTAGGTAAGGAAGGCAGAGCAGGGATTGTCCTCAAAAAGGTTGGAGGGAGGTGGTAAAGGGGGTTTTGTGGGCAATGGGCTTGGCCTTCCAGCAAGTATGTGCAAGCGTGTTAGATAGGAGTGAATGAAGACGAATGATATTTGGGACATAACGAGCAGTTGGAATGTGAGCAGGGTAATATTTTGTGAAGGGATTCAGGGAAACTGGTTAGCCAGATTAGAGTCCTGGAAATGGGAAGTACAATGACTGCACTTTAAAGAAGGGGTTTGGGATATTGGCAGTTTGGAGGGACTTCTACACTGTCGTATCTGAGCGCCTCTGCAAAGACAGTGATTATGTAAGTGTGAGGTGAAAGTGTTGAATGATGATGAAAGTATTTTCTTTTTGGGGATTTTCTTTCTCTTTGGGTCACCCTGCCTTGGTGGGAACCGGCCAATGTGCTAAAAAGAAGTCAAATCATAAATCAATTTCATCTAGTATTCTAGAGTTGATGTAGCCCTACTGAGCTGTACTGCATGTAGGGAAGGTTATAAACTCAACACTCAGCAAACACACAAATATTTGAAAAATAAAGGCCACATTTCCTTATCACATTTTCCCAAAAATTAAAGGAACTCATCATACTTATACTAGAAATGTATAAACTAAAGAGGAATGCATTTGAGTAAGTAATAACCAGGAAAAATGGAGAAGTATGGAGATAAAATGGCACGACTGACTTTTTAAAATGCCACGACTCCTTGTGGTGTATGAGACCAGTGCCCCGTGGAGTGGAGGGCTCATACAAGGTAAGCAGTGATGGTCCTTAAAGCCTCCAGCAACCGAGTCTAAGTCTAGAACATTTTTTTTTTCTTTTTCAACACGTCAGGAATCTCCCACCGAGGCAAGGTGACCCAAAGTGAAACACTTTCACCATCATTCACACATAATCACTGTCTTTGCCGAGACACTCAGATACGACAGTTTAGATGTCACTATGCAGCTTTCTCATTAAACAATTTTGTCATATAATTATAAAAAAAATATTCAACAACTGTAGGTACAAGACTGTTAAAGACATTGGGTTACTAATCTTTCTTCTTCAGGATATGTAAAGTTTACTTAAAGGTTTTAAAGTAAACTACATGTACCCCGAAGAAAGGTAACCTTAAATTATACATCATAATTACACTAATTACATATTCCCATGCATTAAGCAGTCATGTACCTACTTTCTGGATTAATCCTATTCATCTTCTACTGAACTTTCAAGTATTCTTTTTATTAATGCACTAAATGTTTTCTTCAAACTTTTCATGCATAGAACTTTCTACAAATTGAGATTCATAAGGAATGTAATCTTAAAAAACTTTTGATTTGTACAAAATGTTAGTCTAGTACTTTGCTCCCATTCAGTGGGAGGCTTTGTATCCCAAGAACAGACTGTAAAAATTATGGCATCTGCTACCAACATTCGCAGGTTAATTTTTCATAGATTCTCGAACCATTATACAAGGGTTTTGTAGTGTTATTAACCCCTTCAGGGTCCAAGGCCCAAATCTGAAGTGGTGCCCCAGTGTCCAAGAATTTAAAAAAAAAAAAATTTTTATTTTTTCTTATGAAATGGTAGAATCTTTTTGTGAAGGTAATAAAATAAAAAGTACGAAATTTGATAGAAAATTGACGAAATTATGCTCTCGCGAATTTTGATGTGTCAGCGATATTTACGAATCTGCGATTTTGCCGACTTCGACTCCCAGTTTAGGCCAATTATATTATTCCAGTCAACCAAATTCTTAGCTATTTCACTAGTATTACTTCTATTCTATCGATTGAGCACAAGAAATCACCAAGTCAACTGTTTCAACTACAAAATAAAGTGATCAGAAATTGTTAATTTGGCCAATTTAACACAAAGTTCAAAATATTCCAATTTCAAAATGGGGTCCAGAATAAACAATGTAGGTATTCCTGGAACTAAACTAACGTTTCCTCTGTTCATTAGTTACGTTTTGAGGCTTTACAAATAAATTCCATTTTGATTTTTTATTCACATAATGAATTTTTATTCACACCAAAAAATAGATTTACTGTTATGCAATACTGTAATAAGAGTATAAATTTTTTTTTTTTTTTTTTTTTCAACAAGTCGGCCGTCTCCCACCGAGGCAGGGTGACAAAAATGGTGACAAATATGGTGATGATATTTATAAGAGTATAAATATCATCACCATATTTGTGAATGTATATTAGACCCACCAGCTGGTGTGTATTAGATGTGTGAGGTCGTTTGTTTACTCTTGAATATCGGCAAAAATTTAACATTTCCGCTACTTTGAGCTCAGTTTCAAGCCATTTCCAGTGCTAAAACCAATCAAAATCATCTCTATTTCTGTAATATGTCTTCCATTCTATCAAATGAGACCAAGAAATCACAAATACAACTATAAAAAACATACGAAAAAACACTGCAAAGTCGCTGTTTTAATCGAAAAATCATGATTTCAGTTTTTTTTTCTCTCATTATACACAGTGTGCTGCAGGATCTGTTTTATGTGGTGCACACATACCACATAGATGTATTCTCTCATATCTAGGCCCAAATGTACCACTCACAGTTTATCAGAGTGAGCTGAGCTCATGACGTAGATCTACGGTTTGGACCCTGAACATAAAGCCGTAGATCTACGGGACGGACCCTGAAAGGGTTAAAGAAATACTATAATTTGTAAATGGCATCAAGTCAAAAAGTGTTAAGCATAGTTGCTTTACAAGGTTAAATGTACTATAAAATGGCAGCACTCAATTGATAAATGTTTTACTTATGTAACTTTCATGTAAGAACTGTACTTTCTAATATAAAAGCCTAAAGTGCTATCTGACAAATACTGTTCTGCATTATTACCATCAATACAGCTCTAAGAGATCCTTAACTTACAAACTAGAAGTGTTCCTGACTCATAAAATTTGAAAAGTCGCATTTCTAGTTTAAACCTGCAGGTTAGTTGTGTTGCTGGTTCTTCCGCTTACCAACTAGCTTTGCTCCTAGTATGTCAATTTATGAATTAGCTGCCATGTTACTGACATTCCCACTTAACAACGAACTGGTTGCTTGTATAACGAACATTACAAAGTGTACTTGTTTCACAATTGTTTGTACTATAGTGCAAAAGTTGTAAAACTAAGTGGTTTCTGAACTTACTAATTGGTTTCTAAACTTTCTAAGTGGTTTCTAAACTAAGTTATTTTTAAGCTAAGTGGTTTTAAACTTTCTAAGTACAGATGAGTGTAACTTGAGACATTTGTAAGCTGGGTCTCCTTGCATTGGTAAACATTTTTATTACACAAAACATATGGAACAAATCCTTGCATAAAAATAAAGAACTATTATTATTTACTTTACTACAATTTTACCCGAACAGTCTTCAGGATTAATGTGATTAAATTAGGATAATTTTTTATGTTTCTTCACTTTTCTGTTCCATAGAAATTTAAAGATAAAGCATAGGAAATATATAAAGCAATTTACGAATTGTAATTTCTATAAAAAATAAAAAACAAGGATAAACAATATAAGCAGAATAAATGTTTTAAAAGGCATTAAAAAATAATAAGTACCAAGCTTATTTTACATATTCAGTAACATTTTACTATGTAGTCCAGTTACAAGACTACAAAACAGGTACATGTGATCCTAACAAAACAATTCTCAAATAAACATGGCTCTAAGCTCTCGTTCAAAATCTGTCTCATCTTCAACATGCTGTTCCAAGTTCTTATCCTTACAGGTTAGCATATCCAGCTTCCAATTATCATACTTTTCATCAACAAAGGCTTTCTCCAGATGGGTAGGCGTTTCAGATTCGCTAAAGAGCTGCTTAACTCTGGCGTACACAGATTTACCACCCTGAGTTCTAAATCTTTTTAACCGATCATAGGTAGGTTGCGCTTCACCCTGGGTAGCCTCAGTAGCACCTGCTGTCATATTACAATTAGCCTGTGTATCACCAGATATAGCATTCTCTGCCAAATGGTTCCCACTAGCTTTCCTAAGTTCTCTAAGAAATACATATTCAAGATGTCTAATACCACACACTTCCATATAGCTATTCACATAGGCAAGGATAAATGTCATCTGGTCTTCAAGGTTGGGAAGAATGCCACTGGGCATGCTAAAATCTGGAGATATAACTCTGGACTTTAGTTTATGTAGCTCATTATTCTTCTTGGCAGCCTGTAAACGAAGAAAATATAGTAAATTATCAGATTATTTAATACAAGTGGCAGTAACTGTCTAATTCGCATATGATGCCGATAAGAGGTGGAAAGAAAAAACGCAATCACTAGGACAAGCCTACTGGAAATTAGGGATTGGATGATATCAAAATTTGTTCTGATACCAATACTCTGGCACACCCCTATTAGAAATGTTTTGGTGCTTGGACCTTGGCCACTCCAAGCATGTGATAAGTGACTACTTCAAGTCTTTTCCAATGCTTTCAAAATTAAAATACAATAAATTCTCTCGATTCTGATTCCTTACAAACCTCACAAACAAGAAAACAGCTGAATCCAAGAAACTGTAGTAATATTTATCCAATTATTATTATATTTGTGAGATAATACACCACCAGGAGAATAGATAATCAAATTTGATCCAATGACGGGAAGGGTGGTTCCAAGTCCTTGGATCAAGATCCCTTCATCTAAATCTTGTATTACTACAATGCAAAGACATAAATGATTAAAGACAGACTCAGCAATTTGTCACTTTTTTCTTTTTATCACACAGGTCATCTCCCACCAAGGCTGGGTGACCCAAAAACAAAGAAATGAAAGTTTTATGTTATTTACATATTCAGTTATTGATTTATTCATCTCTATTCCCTCATATTTACTAAATACAGCCTCTCTTCACTTAGCGATGTACTCGTTTACCGACAACTCAGTCTTACAAAGGGCTCTCTGACCAGTATGCATACCCAAATAATATACAGTGGACCCTCGAATTTAGTAGTGCCATTTCTGTATGCAAAACTATTTTTATCTCTAAAATGTATTTTTTGTTAATATTTCCCATAGGAAATAATGTAAATCCAATTAAACCATTCCAGACACCCAAAAATATTAACAGAAAATACATTTTATAGATAATAAAAATAGTTTTGCATACAGAAATGGCACTAAATTCGAGGGTCCACTGTATATTAGAGCTTATTTCCTCTATTCTGTTTATTACAATATACAGTACACTACTGTATAAACATTCAAAAACATATCAGAAATGTTATAAATGCTGCAAAGGTGACATTAAAAGAATATCAAGATGATTGACGCAAACCCACCATCATTATAGTATGCTCCTCACTTAGCGACGAATTCATTTACTGACATGGTCTTAGGAACGGAACTCCGTTGTTAAGCGAGATGAGACTGTACATCATTTTTTCATTTCCAGTGATCCATAACTTATATATATTTTCTTTTACAGAAGCTAAGTTTTTGTGTCACACACACTGTATATAGTATAAACATAAACTCTGAAGGCTGGGTGAGGATGTTGCAATGTAGAAAGTCACTGGAATTTTATCCATGTATTACTTGTAAGCCATCTATTGAATGAGTAACAGTGAATGGATTTCCCTCTTTGGGTCACCCTACCTTGGTGGGGAAATTGCCAATGTGGTAAAAACACAAAGGACCTGTCAGTAAATTGGTTAGTAAGGTCTCTCACGAAAATACTTATACAGTGGACCCCCGCATACCGTTGGCATCACATAACATTAAATCCGCATACCGATACATTTTATCGCTAAGATTTTGCCTCGCATACCGCTAAAAAACCTGCTCAACGCTATTCGTCCGAGACGCGTCTAATGTGCGGCCTGAGCCAGCCTCACATGTTCCGCCGGTGGCATTGTTTACAAGCCAGCCTCCATGGTAACATCCAAGCATACAATCGGAACATTTCTTATTATTACAGCGTTTTTGGTGATTTTATCTGCAAAATAAGTGACCATGGGCCCCAAGAAAACTTCTAGTGCCAACCCTGTGGTAAAAAGGGTGAGAAATATTATCGAAATACTGTGGTACCATGGTCAACTGCTGATGCTGCTGCTGCTGCTGTAGCACTGTCAGCTGCTGCTGCTGCTGTAGCACTGTCAGCTGCTGCTGCTGCTGTAGCACCGTCAGCTGCTGCTGCTGTACCACCATCAGCTGCTGCTGCTGTAGTACCGTCTGCTGCTGCTGTAGCACCGTCTGCTGCTGCTGTAGCACTGTCAGCTGCTGCTGTAGCACCATCAGCTGCTGCTGCTGCTGTACCACCGTCAGCTGCTTTCTGCTGCTGCCAGTACCATCTGCTGCTGCTGTAGCACCGTCTGCTGCTGCTGTAGCACTGTCAGCTGCTGCTGCTGTAGCACCGTCAGCTGCTGCTGCTGCTGTACCACCGTCAGCTGCTGCTGCTGCTGTAGTACCGTCTGCTGCTGCTGTAGTACCGTCTGCTGCTGCTGTAGCACCGTCTGCTGCTGCTGTAGCACTGTCAGCTGCTGCTGCTGCTGTACCACTGTCTGCTGCTGTAGTACCATCTGCTGCTGCTGTAGCACCATCTGCTGCTGCTGTAGCACTGTCAGCTGCTGCTGTAGCACTGTCAGCTGCTGCTGCTGCTGCTGCTGTAGCATCGTTGCTGGTTTGGCTTATTGAGAATACCAAGAAACAAACCCAGGATAACCCATAAAAGAGTCAGTGTCATCGAAGACTGTCTAACTTATTTCCATTGGGGTCCTTAATCTTGTCTCTCAGGATGCAACTCACACCAGTCGACTAACACCCAGGTGAATAGGGAAAAATGCCTGGAACTAGTGCTCGTATTGGTGAATTTAAAGCCAGCAGAGGTTGGTTTGAGAGATTTAAGAATCGTAGTGGCATACACAGTGTGATAAGGCCTGTTCTGGAAGAAAATGCCAAACAGGACCTACAGTACTCAGGAGGAAAAGGCACTCCCAGGACACAGTGTCTCATCAGTCATTGCTGCATCTTCAATAAAGGTAAGTGTCATTTATTCTTCATTTAGTAGAGTAGTACATGCACAATATATATTGTGCATGTACTGCTCTACTATTGTGCATGTATCCTTCTCTTTGTGTTTAGGAAAATGTATATTTCATGTGGTAAAAATTTTTTTTTCATACTTTTGGGTGTCTTGCACGGATTAATTTGATTTCCATTATTTCTTATGGGGAAAATTCATTCGCATAACGATAATTTCGCATAACAATGAACTCTCAGGAACGGATTAATATCGTTATGCGGGGGTCCACTGTATAGGGAAAAAGCAAAGATTTCAACATCCTTCAAAGTACATTTTTCTTGGCTGTTCTTACACTCGAAGCCTCATCTGATATCTTAATTTATTTTCATTGCCAGAATATTTTTTTAAAGTAAAAATTCTACCCATTTTCTATTCACTCCTTGTACCTCAATATTTTTATTTTTTATTTACCTTAATATTCATCACCCACCAAGGTAGGGGGACCCAAAAAAGGAGACATTCACTATCATTCTGTCAATAGCCGTCTTGTCAAATGTGTATCAATTCGACTGACCTGAGTTGCAACACCCTCACCCTTGTTAAGAGCTGGTATAAAATACCAACAATGAAATAAGACATGTACCATACTAGGAAGCTTTACTGATGAAACGTTTCACCACAAATGACTTCAGCATTTTCAAAACTAATGAAGCCATTTAAGGGAAAACATGTTTTCAATGAAGTATCCTAATGTTGCATATGTATCTTATTTCACCATCCTCACTCCTCCTTTAGTTTTCTTGTAGAATCTTTTTGTTAAGAGATCTTTCTCAGAGAAGGTGCAAGTGCTCTTAGAGCAGGTGTAAGTGTTTCACTTTCACAACAGCTAAACCAGCATATACAAAGCTTTAAGCAGGTGTTTTAGGTGCCCCTTCAACAGTTCATTACTAAAAGGTCTTTAAAATAAACATCTGTCAATGGTTCTCAATATGATTACCCCTTAATAAGTCATCTAATATAGACAAGATTTCTCAAAAAAACAAATATGATAGTTTTACCAAAGACGGCGGTGCTCCTTTGTACGAATTCAAGAGCTGCCGCATTTCTGTAGTCGTCGCTAAATTTAATGGGGTCTTGCCTCCTTTAGTTTTATCCTTCAGTAAATCACCACCTGCAGAAAAAATGTTAAGATAAAGACAAATGGTATTCACCCAAAATACTTTTAATGCTTTAAAATAATCAACAGTATTTCATTACTATGCAATATTCTTTATCGCTGACTTACAGTATCTCTTTTCCTTACTACATACGAACACCAGCATTCCCCAAGACACTTGATACGTGCAATTATTATTAAATATGTGGAGAAATGTATAATATAGCAGTCATGCTCATACAATGCCTGGGAAATGGAAAGTAATCAGGTTTGATCCAAAAGCAATGAACCAGTATCATGCCACTCTCATTGATGTGTTATGTATGCCAGCCATTAAGCTCAGCCAATAATAACCAGTACTACTGAAGGGGGTGGGAGAGTTTCAATGGAGAGGAATAACTGGGATTAGGTCAGGGGTTTCAAAAAGAGTTAGAGCTAAAGAAGGAGTAGCAATAATGTTGAAGGATAAGCTATGGCAGGAAAAGAGGGACTATAAATGTATTAATTCAAGGATTATGTGGAGTAAAATAAAGATTGGATGTGAAAAGTGGGTTATAATAAGCGTATATGCACCTGGAGAAGAGAGAAGTATAGAGGAGAGAGAGAGATTTTGGGAAATGTTGAGTGAATGCGTGGGGAGTTTTGAATCAAGTGTGAGAGTAATGGTGGTTTGGGATTTCAATGCTAAAGTGGGTAAAAATGTTATGGAGGGAGTAGTAGGTAAATTTGGGGTGCCAGGGGTAAATGTAAATGGGAAGCCTTTAATTGAGCTATGTATAGAAAGAGATTTGGTAATAAGTAATACATATTTTATGAAAAAGAGGATAAATAAGTATACAAGGTATGATGTAGCACATAATGAAAGTAGTTTATTAGATTATGTATTGGTGGATAAAAGGTTGATGGGTAGGCTCCAGGATGTATATGTTTATAGAGGGGCAACTGATATATCGGATCATTATTTAGCTGTAGCTACAGTTAGAGTAAGAGGTAGATGGGAAAAGAGGAAGGTGGCAACAAGAAGTAAGAGGGAGGTGAAAGTGTATAAACTAACGAAGGAGGAAGTTCGGGTGAGATATAAGCGACTATTGGCAGAAAGGTGGGCTAGTGTAAAGATGAGTAGTGGGGGAGTTGAAGAGGGTTGGAATAGTTTTAAAAATGCAGTATTAGAATGTGGGGCAGAAGTTTGTGGTTATAGGAGGGTGGGGGCAGGAGGAAAGAGGAGTGATTGGTGGAATGATGAAGTAAAGGGTGTGATAAAAGAGAAAAAGGTAGCTTATGAGAGGTTTTTACAAAGCAGAAGTGTTATAAGAAGAGCAGAGTATATGGAGAGTAAAAGAAAGGTAAAGAGAGTGGTGAGAGAGTGCAAAAGGAGAGCAGATGACAGAGTGGGAGAGGCACTGTCAAGAAATTTTAATGAAAATAAGGGCAAGGAGGAATAACATCTTGTAGGAGTGAGGAAGAACCAGTTGTGAGTGTGGGGGAAGTTCGTGAGGCAGTAGGTAAAATGAAAGGGGGTAAGGCAGCCGGGATTGATGGGATAAAGATAGAAATGTTAAAAGCAGGTGGGGATATAGTTTTGGAGTGGTTGGTGCAATTATTTAATAAATGTATGGAAGAGGGTAAGGTACCTGGGGATTGGCAGAGAGCATGCATAGTTCCTTTGTATAAAGGCAAAGGGGATAAAAGAGTGCAAAAATTATAGGGGGATAAGTCTGTTGAGTGTACCTGGTAAAGTGTATGGTAGAGTTATAATTGAAAGAATTAAGAGTAAGACGGAGAATAGGATAGCAGATGAACAAGGAGGCTTTAGGAAAGGTAGGGGGTGTGTGGACCAGGTGTTTAAGTGAAACATATAAGTGAACAGTATTTAGATAAGGCTAAAGAGGTCTTTGTGGCATTTATGGATTTGGAAAAGGCGTATGACAGGGTGGATAGGGGGGCAATGTGGCAGATGTTGCAAGTGTATGGTGTAGGAGGTAGGTTACTGAAAGCAGTGAAGAGTTTTTACGAGGATAGTGAGGCTCAAGTTAGAGATGTAGGAAAGAGGGAAATTTTTTCCCAGTAAAAGTAGGCCTTAGACAAGGATGTGTGATGTCACCGTGGTTGTTTAATATATTTATAGATGGGGTTGTAAGAGAAGTAAATGCGAGGGTTTTGGCAAGAGGCGTGGAGTTTAAAAGATAAAGAATCACACACAAAGTGGGAGTTGTCACAGCTGCTCTGTGCTGATGACACTGTGCTCTTGGGAATTCTGAAGAGAAGTTGCAGAGATTGGTGGATGAAATTTGGTAGGGTGTGCAAAAGAAGAAAATTAAAGGTGAATACAGGAAGAGTAAGGTTATGAGGATAACAAAAAGATTAGGTGATGAAAGATTGAATATCAGATTGGAGGGAGAGAGTATGGAGGAGGTGAACGTATTCAGATATTTGGGAGTGGACGTGTCAGCGGATGGGTCTATGAAAGATGAGGTGAATCATAGAATTGATGAGGGAAAAGAGTGAGTGGTGCACTTAGGAGTATGTGGAGACAAAGAACTTTGTCCTTGGAGGCAAAGAGGGGAATGTATGAGAGTATAGTTTTACCAACGCTCTTATATGGGTGTGAAGGTGGGTGATGAATGTTGCAGCGAGGAGAAGGCTGGAGGCAGTGGAGATGGTCATGTCTGAGGGCAATGTGTGGTGTGAATATAATGCAGAGAATTCGTAGTTTGGAAGTTAGGAGGAGGTGCGGGATTACCAAAACTGTTGTCCAGAGGGCTGAGGAAGGGTTGTTGAGGTGGTTCGGACATGTAGAGAGAATGGAGCGAAACAGAATGACTTCAGAGTGTATCAGTCTGTAGTGGAAGGAAGGCGGGGTAGGGGTCGGCCTAGGAAGGGTTGGAGGGAGGGGGTAAAGGAGGTTTGTGTGCGAGGGGCTTGGACTTCCAGCAGGCATGCGTGGAGCGTGTTTGATAGGAGTGAATGGAGACAAATGGTTTTTAATACTTGACGTGCTGTTGGAGTGTGAGCAAAGTAACATTTATGAAGGGATTCAGGGAAACCGGCAGGCCGGACTTGAGTCCTGGAGATGGGAAGTACAGTGCCTGCACTCTGAAGGAGGGGTGTTAATGTTGCAGTTTAAAAACTGTAGTGTAAAGCACCCTTCTGGCAAGACAGTGATGGAGTGAATGATGGTGAAAGTTTTTCTTTTTCGGGCCACCCTGCCTTGGTGGGAATCGGCCGGTGTGATAATAATAATAATAAAAAGAAAAAATTTTATAGTGAGTTAAACAAGTTAAGAAAGCCTAGGAAAAGTATGGATTTGTCAGTTAAAAACAGAGTAGGGGAGTTAGTAGAGGGGGAGAGGGAGGTATTAGGTAGATGGCGAGAATATTTTGAGGAACCTTTAAATGTTAAGGAAGAAAGAGAGGGAGTAATTTCATGCACTGGTCAGGGAGGTATACCATCTTTTAGGAGTGAAGAAGAGCAGAATGTAAGTGTGGGGGAGGTACATGAAGCATTACGTAGAATGAAAGGGGTTAAAGCAGCTGGAACTGATGGGATCATGACAGAAATGTTAAAAGCAGGGGGAGATATAGTGTTGGAGTGGTTGGTACTTTTGTTTAATAAATATATGAAAGAGGGGAAGGTACCTAGGGATTGGCGGAGAGCATGTGTAGTCCCTTTAAATAAAAGGAAAGGGGACAAAAGAGACTGTAAAAATTATAGAGGAATAAGTTTACTGAGTATACCAGGAAAAGTGTACGGTAGGGTTATAATTGAAAGAATTAGAGGTAAGACAGAATGTAGGATTGCGGATGAGCAAGGAGGTTTCAGAGTGGGTAGGGGATGTGTAGATCAAGTGTTTACATTGAAGCATATATGTGAACAGTATTTAGATAAAGGTAGGGAAGTTTTTATTGCATTTATGGATTTAGAAAAGGCATATGATAGAGTGGATAGAGGAGCAATGTGGCAGATGTTGCAAGTATATGGAATAGGTGGTAAGTTATTAAATGCTGTAAAGAGTTTTTATGAGGATAGTGAGGCTCAGGTTAGGGTGTGTAGAAGAGAGGGAGACTACTTCCCGGTAAAAGTAGGTCTTAGACAGGGATGTGTAATGTCACCATGGTTGTTTAATATATTTATAGATGGGGTTGTAAAGGAAGTAAATGCTAGGGTGTTCGGGAGAGGGGTGGGATTAAATTTTGGGGAATCAAATTCAAAATGGGAATTGACACAGTTACTTTTTGCTGATGATACTGTGCTTATGGGAGATTCTAAAGAAAAATTGCAAAGGTTAGTGGATGAGTTTGGGAATGTGTATAAAGGTAGAAAGTTGAAAGTGAACATAGAAAAGAGTAAGGTAATGAGGGTATCAAATGATTTAGATAAAGAAAAATTGGATATCAAATTGGGGAGGAGGAGTATGGAAGAAGTGAATGTTTTCAGATACTTGGGAGTCGACGTGTCGGCGGATGGATATATGAAGGATGAGGTTAATCATAGAATTGATGAGGGAAAAAAGGTGAGTGGTGCGTTGAGGTATATGTGGAGTCAAAAAACGTTATCTATGGAGGCAAAGAAGGGAATGTATGAAAGTTAGTAGTACCAACACTCTTATATGGGTGTGAAGCTTGGGTGGTAAATGCAGCAGCGAGGAGACGGTTTGGAGGCAGTGGGGATGTCCTGTTTAAGGGCAATGTGTGGTTTTAAATATTATGCAGAAAATTCGGAGTGTGGAAATTAGGAAAAGGTGTGGAGTTAATAAAAGTATTAGTCAGAGGGCAGAAGAGGGGTTGTTGAGGTGGTTTGGTCATTTAGAGAGAATGGATCAAAGTAGAATGACATGGAAAGCATATAAATCTATAGGGGAAGGAAGGAGGGGTAGGGGTCGTCCTCGAAAGGGTTGGAGAGAGGGGGTAAAGGAGGTTTTGTGGGCAAGGGGCTTGGACTTCCAGCAAGCGTGTGTGAGCGTGTTAGATAGGAGTGAATGTAGACGAATGGTACTTGGGACCTGACGATCTGTTGGAGTGTGAGCAGGGTAATATTCAGTGAAGGGATTCAGGGAAACCAGTTATTTTCATATAGTCGGACTTGAGTCCTGGAAATGGGAAGTACAATGTCTGCACTTTAAAGGAGGGCTTTGGGATATTGGCAGTTTGGAGGGATATGTTGTGTATCTTTATATGAGTATGCTTCTAAACTGTTGTATTCTGAGCACCTCTGCAAAAACAGTGATTATGTGTGAGTGTGGTGAAAGTGTTGAATGATGATTAAAGTATTTTCTTTTTGGGGATTTTCTTTCTTTTTTGGGTCACCCTGCCTCGGTGGGAGACGGCTGACTTGTTAAAAAAAAAAAAAAAAAAAACTACTGATTAATGTTTTGAATGATATTGGCTTCTTTAAATATAAAGAATTCAAAAAGCAATACAGTATCAAAAGAGTTGATTAGATCTAACTGTAATGTTAAGAAAGGAGTTGAGTCAAATAAGTACTTGCTCAGTAGTCTCTGCATCTTGCCTATAGTACCTAAATTTAGTATTACATATAGATGGCCAGAGAGAATGTTACTGCTTTAAAAAACTGATGAGGGCATCACCCAAGGACAGTTGATTCTAAAATTATCAAACAAGAAACTACAATGTCCAATGTCAATCTTGAGCTTTGTGTAACTAAGATACACAATCTTGAGCTGTGTAACTAAGATACACAATCTTGAGCTTTGTGTAACTAAGATACACAGTCTTGAGCTTTGTGTAACTAAGATACACAAACTTGAGCTTTAAGTAAGATACACAATTGCTGAAAACTTTAAAGCCATGCCAATGACCAAAGGCACTCAAGTTAACAGTGAGAGGAAAAGCCCCCAAAACAATAAAAATCAACAAATTCCATTAGAATATGCAGGTGCCCTGCTTGGGTGAGGATATGCAATTAGTGCACAAAAAAATATGTATAACTTTGCAGAGTCTTGCCTCCATAATCAAGAAGCAACTTAGCAGTGCTAAGATGGTTCGATTCAACTGCATCGTGTAAAGGTGTTCTTTTATCATCTCCACCCCTTGCTCGCACATTCACACCAAGTGAATTCTCACCTGAAAACAGTTATAAAATTAGATTATCGGTATGTTAGCTGATAAATAACCAAAAAAATGCATTTTTGGAATCACCTTAAAAGCAAAACACAAACTGCCAAGAGGAACATTACAAATTGGCTTCTAAATACATTACCAATAATACCTAAATTGAGAGAAAAGGATTTTGAGTAACATTTTGATAAAAGGGGATTTGGAAGATGACAATGATAGTCATTGGTAGGTACTGTACCCAACTTTTACTGTTCTATACCAGGGTTCTCTAGTTATGTTCTATACTTCATGTCTTGACGGCTTTGGATTAGCGTTACATTGTTGGAGCCAGTGAGGCAGCCATGGGGAAGGGGGAGGCTAATGGGGCTAATATTTTAAACACCACTTCCATAATACATAATCAAAAGTCCTAACCCCTAGCTATAACAAGCACTAAACAAACATAAATCCTGTATAAAAATAAGAACAGTACAGTTATTAAAAGTTAGAGAAAATTCCATGCAGTAATACAGGAGGGCCCCACTTATACAAGCAAGTTAGGTTCCAGGCAACTGCTGTAAAGTGAATCATAACCTTTTTTTACTTTCAAATGCACATGAAAGCCTGATAACATGTCTGAATTCTCATATATTAAGTGAGCAATATAGCTAGGCCTTAAAAAATGCATATACAGTACAGAAATTATTTACCTTAAAACATTTGTGTATCTTTATATGTATATGCTTCTAAACTGTTGTATTCTGAGCACCTCTGCAAAAACAGTGATAATGTGTGAGTGTGGTGAAAGTGTTGAATGATGATGAAAGTATTTTCTTTTTGGGGATTTTCTTTCTTTTTTGGGTCACCCTGCCTCGGTGGGAGACGGCCGACATGTTGAGAAAAAAAAAAAAAAATTCATCCTTAGATTATAGTGAATAGTCAATATATTTATTGTAGGAAGTCTGAATAAATGAGGAACAGGTATAACTGAAAACTGCTGTATTAACAAAATGCTGTAAAATGAAGTGCTGTAAAGTGGGGCCTCCAGTACTAAAAAATAGAAAAATGCAAACGAGTATGTTACTAAAACAAACATAACTTCATACATTTTTTGACATAGGAGTACATAGTTTTCTTGGTGTTGACCACATCGTGACAATTATGGTTGAGGAGAAGCTCGACACACTGATCATAGCCACATATAACTGCTTCATGTATGGCTGTCCAGCCAGAGTTATCAGTAATGTTGATGTCAACACCCGGCACTTTGAGAATCTCCTGCACTCGCTTCACATTGTTCTTCATGCAAGCACGAATGAGAGGTGTTTCTCCTGTTAAAGCACATTTTTGAGAATGTATTACTCATGCTGTTATGAAAAATAAAATTACATCACAAATTACAAAAAAAAAAAAAAAAAACAAAATGAGAGTGAAATAAGCATAAGAAAATATGAAAAATACAAAAATTACTGCCAAGGTTTTAAGATCACTAGCAGAGTTGTACTTCACTATTTACACTTTTTTTTTTTAATACACCAGCCATCTACCACCGAGATAGGGCATTAATATTAGTATTATTATTAAAGAAGCACTAAACCCACAGGGGTCATACAGTGCATTGGTAATGAGAGTTAATCAGATTGAATCCTAGTTGGTATGGGCATTTAGAGAGGATGGAGAGGAACAGAATGACAAAGAGGGTATATAAATGTGGGTGGAAGGTTGGAGAGGTGGGGAGGGTGTCCCAGGAGTGACTGGAGTTAAAATGTAAAGGAGGCTTGAGTTTTAGTGGTTTAAGCATCCAACAGGTTTGTGTAGGCATGTTAGATAGTGGTGAAAGAAGACAAGTGCTCTTTAATGGACGTGCTGTTGGTGGGTCGGAAATGTAGCATTTATGAGCGGATTCATGGAAACTGGTTAGCCGAACTTGAGTCCCAGAGGCAAGAAATGCAGTGAGAATATTGCTGGCTATCTAAAATATGTCAGCATGTTTCAGTGTAAACAGTGGTTGAATGAGTGACAATGAAAGAGTTTCTTCTTTCTAATGTCACTCCACCTCAGTGGGAGATGACTTGTTTTCAAAAAATAAAATTAAAAGTAGACTAGTTATTAAACTAATATTAAATGCTCTCACCTTTATGGTTCTGCTTGTTAATTAAATGAGGGCTTAAGCCTCTTTTGGCAGGCGGTGTGGACAACTGAGACCTAGTAGGTGAAAACGGTGTGCTTGCTTTGTCATGCTGGGATTTCTGGAAAAAATCAATATTTTCTCTTTATGCAATAACCTCCATGCAGTAGCTTCTTTCACATAAATTTATGAAAGGTCTAAAAAAAAAAAATGAGCATTTTTCAAGCATTTCCACCCAAATCCAAAGATGTGCAGTATGCATCAAATACACACACACATAAACTGAACTGTCATATCTGCAAGCCTCTGGCAAGACAATGATAGTATGAATGATGGTGAAAGCATTTCTTTTTTCAGGTTACCCTAATCATAATGAATCCTAATAATAATAAATTCTAAACATAATAAATCAAAGTCATAATGAATCATAATAAATCAGTATCATAATAATAATAATAATAATTTTTTTTTTCAACAAGTCGGCCGTCTCCCACCGAGGCAGGGTGACCCAAAAAAGAAAATACTTTCATCATCATTCAACACTTTCACCTCACTCACACATAATCACTGTTTTTGCAGAGGTGCTCAGAACACAACAGTTTAGAAGCATATACAGTGGACCCCCGGTATTCGATGTCATCGGTATTCGATAAATCCGGTTTTTGATGCATTTTAACGCAAAAATTTTTCCTCGGTATTCGACTGAAAACCCGGTATTCGATATGATTCGTACGAGACCTGTCCACGTGTAGCCTGAACTGCCCCGTGTGTGCTAGTGTTTACAAGCCAGCCAGTGTGCGCGCATCTAAGGATACATTCGGTACATTCCATATTATCCATATTATCACTGTGTTTGGTGCTTGTTTCTGCAAAATAAGTCACCATGGGCCCCAAGAAAGCTTCTAGTGCCAACCCTTCGAGAAAAAAGTCGCTAATGACTTATGAAATGAAGAAAGAGATAATTGCAAAGTACAAAAGTGGAGTGCGTGTGTCGGAGCTGGTCAGGTTGTATAATAAACCCCAGTCAACCATCTCTACTATAGTGACCAGGAAAACGGCAATCAAGGAAGCTGTTCTTGCAAAAGGTGCAACTGTGATTACGAAACAGCGACTGCAAGTGTTAGAAAATGTTGAGAGATTGTTATTGGTGTGGATAAATGAAAAACAGATAGCAGGAGATAGCATCTCTCAAGCGATCATTTGTGAAAAGGCTAGGCAGTTGCATGACGCTTTGGTAAAGAAATTGCCTGCAACTAGTGGTGATGTGAGTGAATTTAAGGCCAGCAAAGGTTGGTTTGAAAGATTTAAGAATCGTAGTGGCATACATAGTGTGATTAGGCATGGTGAGGCTGCCAGTTATGTTGTGCGACAGAAGTCCAGTGACTCTCAAGCTGGTCCTAGTGGCATTAAAAGAAGAAGGGAAGTAACCCAGGAAAAGGACTTGCTACCTCAAGTCCTAATGGAAGGGGATTTCCCTTCTAAACACTAACACCTCTCCCCTCCTCCCATCCCATCAATCATCACCAGCTCTTCATTAAAGGTAAGTATAAATTATTTTATTGTTATTGTAATTATTCTATTGCATTAAACTTAATATTTCATGTAGTAAAAATTTTTTTTTTCATACTTTTGGGTGTCTTGCACAGATTAATTTGATTTCCGTTATTTCTTATGAGGAAAATTGATTCGGTTTTCAATATTATCGGTATTCGATGAGCTCTCAGGAACGGATTAATATCGAATACCAGGGGTCCACTGTACGTATAAAGATACACAACATATCTCTCCAAACTGCCAATATCCCAAACCCCTCCTTTAGAGTGCAGGCATTGTACTTCCCATTTCCAGGACTCAAGTCCGGCTATATAAAAATAACCGGTTTCCCTGAATCCCTTCACTAAATATTACCCTGCTCACACTCCAACAGATCGTCAGGTCCCAAATACCATTCGTCTCCATTCACTCCTATCGAACACGCTCATGCACGCCTGCTGGAAGTCCAAGCCCCTCGCCCACAAAACCTCCCTTACCCCTTCCTTCCAACCTTTTCGAGGACGACCCGTACCCCGCCTTCCTTCTCCGACAGATTTAAATGCTCTCCATGTCATTCTACTTTGATCCATTCTCTCTAAATGACCAAACCACCTCAACAACCCCTCTTCAGCCCTCTGACTAATACTTTTATTAACTCCACACCTTCTCCTAATTTCCACACTCCGAATTTTCTGCATAATATTTACACCACACACTGCCCTTAGACAGGACATCTCCACTGCCTCCAACCGCCTCCTCGCTGCTGCATTCACAACCCAAGCTTCACACCCATATAAGAGTGTTGGTACTACTATACTTTCATACATTCCCTTCTTTGCCTCCATAGATAACGTTTTTTGACTCCACATATACCTCAATGCACCACTCACCTTTTTTCCCTCATCAATTCTACGATTAACCACATCTTTCATAAATCCATCCGCCAAGACGTCAACTCCCAAGTATCTGAAAACATTCACTTCTTCCGTACTCCTCCTCCCCAATTTGATATCCAATTTTTCATTATCTAAATCATTTGATACCCTCATCACCTTACTCTTTTCTATGTTCACTTTCAACTTTCTACCTTTACACACACTCCCAAACTCATCCACTAACTTTTGCAATTTTTCTTTAGACTCTCCCATAAGCACAGTATCATCAGCAAAAAGTAACTGTGTCAATTTCCCCATTTTGTATTTGATTCCCAAAATTTAATCCACCCCATCCCAAACCCCCTAGCATTTAATTTCTTTTACAACCCCATCTAAAAATATTTTTAAACAACCATGGTGACATTACACATCCCTGTCTAAGACCTACTTTTACCGGGAAGTAGTCTCCCTCTCTTCTACCACCCTAACCTGAGCCTCACTACCCTCATAAAAACTTTTTTACAGCATTTAGTAACTTACCACCTATTCCATATACTTGCAACATCTGCCACATTGCTCCCCTATCCACTCTATCATTGCCTTTTCTAAATCCATAAATGCAATAAAAACTTCCCTACCTTTTATCTAAATACTGTTCACATAAAATGCTTCAATGTAAATACTTGATCAACACATCCCCTACCCATTCTGAAACCTCCTTGCTCATCCGCAATCATTCATTCTGTCTTAAACCTCTAACTCTTTCAATTATGACCCTACTGTACACTTTTCCTGGTATACCCCATAAACTTATTCCCCTCTATAATTTTAACATCTCTTTGGCCCCTTTCCTTTATAAAGGGATTTTTCATGCTCTCTGCCAATCCCTGGACCTTCCCCTTTCTACATTTATTAAACAAAAGTACCAACCACTCCAGCACTTTACCCCCCTGCTTTTAACATTTCTGTCATGATCCCTCATTCCAGCTGCTTTACCCCCTTTCATTCTACGTAATGCCTTCACGTACCTCCCCACATTTTACATTGTGCTCTTCTTCACTCCTAAAAGATGGTATACCTCCCTGGCCAGTGCTGAAATTACCCCCCTAACTTTCTTCCTCAACTTTTAAAAAATTCCTCAAAATATTCCGCCATCTACCTAATACCTCCCCTCCCCACTACTAACTCCCCTACCTTTTTTTTTAACACAAACCTACGTTCCCTTGGCTTTCTTAACTTTTTAACTCTTTCCCAAAATTTTTTTCTTATTTTCGTTAAATTTCCGACATGCCTTCCCCTCTTCATCGCTCCCTTTTGCACTCTCTCACCACCTCTTCACCTTTCTTTTACTCTCCATTACTCTGCTCTTCTTATAACATTTGCTTTGTAAAAACCTCTTATAAGCTAACTTTTTCTTTTTATCACACCCTTTACTTCATCATTCCCAATCACCCCCTCTTTCCCCCTCCCCCCACCCTCTATAACCACAAACTTGTGCCCACATCTAATACTGCTTTTTTAAACTATCCAACCCTCTTCAACCCCCCCCCCCACAAATCTTATTTGCACTAGCCCACCTTTTCTGCCAATAGTCGGCTTAATCTCTCACCCGAACTTCCTCCTCCCTTAGTTTATACCCTTTCGCTTCCTCCTACTTGTTGTTGCCCACCTTCCTCTTGTCCCATCTATCTCTCACTCTAACTTAGCTAAACTAATAATGATACGATATATCCAGTTTGCCCCTCTAAAAAACATGTACATCCTGGAGCCACCCATCAACCTTTTATGCAATACATAATCTAACAAAAACTACTTTCATTACGTGCTAAATCATACCTTGTTTAAATTTTATCCTTTTTTTCATAAATTATTACTTATTACCAAATCTCTTTCTACCATAGCCAATTAAGGGCCCCCCATTTACATTTACCCCTGGCACCCCAAATTTACCTATTTTACTCCCCCCCCCCACCCCAACTTTTACCCACTTTAGCATTGAAATCCCCAACCACAAGTACCTCCTCCCACCCCTTGGTTCAAACTCCCCATGCATTCACTCAACATTTCCCAAAATCTCTCTCTGTCCTCTACATTTCTCTTTTTCCAGGTGCATATCTCATAGTAGTAACCATTTTAACCAGTCTAGTAACCATTACCGTAACCGTCCGTTGATTCAACTCATATTGTGCTGAGCTGACACTATTTCAAAACACCCACTACGGGTATGGCCCACGCCATCAGTTTAACGAGTGAAGCAGGAGATAGGTACGTGCGGGCCTGTCCACATAACAGTAATTATACGTATAACAGCCTACGTGAGTATTTCTACCCAAATCCACGTATCGAACTCCCCAGATAAAAAAAATACGCTTACTTAACCCACTTTTCACATCCAACCTTTATTTTACTCCACATAATCCTTGAATTAATACATTTGTAGTCCTCTTTTCCTGCCATATCTTATCCTTCAACATTATTGCTACTTCCTTCTTAGCTCTAACTCTATTTGAAACCCTGACCTAATCCCATTTATTCCTCTCCACTGAAACTCTCCCACCCCCTTCAGCTTTGTTTCAGTTAAAGCCAGGACATCCAGCTTCTTCTCATTCATAACATCCACAATCATCTCTTTCTTATCATTTGCACAACATCCACGCACATTCAGACTTCCCCCTTTGACAATTTTCTGCTTCTTATTCTTTTTTTTAGTAATCTTTACATGAAAAGGGGTTACTAGCCCATTGTTTCCGGCATTTTAGTTGACTTTTACAACACGCACGGCTTACGGAGGAAAGTTTCTTATTCCACTTCCCCATGGATATAAAAGGAAAAGTAATAAGACCAAGAACTATTAAGATAAAATCAAAGAAAACTCAGATGAGTGTGTATAAATAAACGTGTACATGTATGTGTAGTGTGACCTAAGTGTAATAGAAGTAGCAAGACATACCTGTAATTTTGCATATTTATGAGCCCAGACAAAAGACCCCAGCAATCCTACCATCATGTAAAAAAATTTACAGGCTTTCATTTTACACTCACTTGGCGGGATGGTAGTACCTCCCGGGTGGCTGCTGTCTACCAACCTACTACCACAGGATGGTAGTACCTCCCTGGGTGGTTGTTGCCTACCAACCTACTACCACAGGATGGTAGTACCTCCCTGGGTGGTTGTTGTCTACCAACCTACTACCACGGGATGGTAGTACCTCCCTGGGTGTTGCTGTCCCCAACCTACAAACTACTACTACTACTACTACTACTACTACTACTAATAATAATAATAATAATAATAATAATAATAATAATAATAATAATAATCAATACTGTGTGCTGCTTTTTTCTGCAATTTGATTCTAAAAAATAACCTCACTGTATATTCAGGTAACTTTTAATTATGGCTACTGCACAAAATAGATTCAATCACAAAGTTTTCGAAAGTTTATATACAACTTAAATAGGTAATTACAAATAACTAGCTACAAAAAAGTTATTTATCTCTCCTCCACATTACACGAGGCACAATACAATGTGCTCCTCCCAGCATTTCAGTCTAATAAAATGTAAAAAAATTAGTAATATTATTAAGTGTGCTGTTGGTGTATGATCAAGGTAACATATATGAAGGGATAGAGGGTGAACCAAATAGATGGACTTGAGTGCTGGACTCACCAAATCATAATACAGTGGTCCCTCGTTTTTCATAAGCATTGGAAGTCGTAACTATCGAAAATCGTAACATTTTTTTCGTGAAAACATTGACTCACGAATCATCATTTGACTCTCAAATAGTCATTTGTCCCAGACGCATACACAAGCCTCGAGCATCCCCACACTCCATTCCCAGCAAGTGTGCCATTGTTTATCAGTGAGTGAGGATAATCCCATGTGTTCATATGATACATTTCATAATATTCCATTCATTTTAGTACTTGCAACTGCTAAATAAGCCATCATGGCTCCAAAGAAAGCTTCTAGTGCCAGCCCTTTGGTAAAGAATGTGAGAAACATGATTTAATTCAAGAAAAAGTTTGTAGAAAAATACGAAAGTGGTGGTAGTAGAAGGTGGTAGAGGGTGGTAGTGATGGTGGTAGAGGGCAGTAGCAATTGTGAGGGTGGTAGTGATGGTGGTAGAAGGTGGTAGTGATGGTGGTAGAGAGTGCCTTCTTCAGTGATTCAGCGATTCTACTAACTCCTCCAATATTGTTGGAGTTATATAGGGCTACAGAAAACACCGCTGCCTCAGCTGCAGCCTTCACCAACATTATGTACGGCTTATGCTCTCAGTGGCCCTTATACACCCAACAACACAACACAACACCAGTCGTGACATACATAATGACTTATTTTATTCATTCTAGAGTATATTCCATGTTTCTGTTATTAATAGTGTTTATGTCATATTAGTTGAATTGTGATAGATAAATAAGCATGGGTGATGAATGTTGCAACGAGGAGAAGGCTGGAGGCAGTGAAGATGTCATGTCTGAGGGCAATGTGTGGTGTGAATATAATGCAGAGAATTCATAGTTTGGAAATTAGAAGGTGTGGGATTACCAAAATTATTATCCAGAGGGCTGAGGAGGGGTTGTTCAGGTGGTTCGGACATGTAGAGAGAATGGAACAAAACAGAATGACTTTGAGAGTGTATAAATCTATAGTGTGGGGGGGGTGGGGTAGGGGTCAGCCTAGGAAGGGTTGGAGGGAGGGAGTAAAGGAGGTTTTGTGTGCGATGGGCTTGGACTTCCAGCAAGCATGCATGAGAGTATTTGACAGGAGAGAATGGAGACAAATAGTTTTTAATACTTGAGGTGCTATTGGAGTGTGAGCAAAGTAACATTTATGAAGGGATTCAGGGGAAACCGGCAGGCCGGACTTGAGTCCTGGAGATGGGAAGTACAGTGTCTACACTCTGAAGGAGGGGTGTCAATGTTGCAGTTTTATAACTGTAGTGTAAAGCACCCCTCTGGCAAGACAGTGATGGAGTGAATGATGAAAGTTTTTCTTTTTCAGGCCACCCTGCTTTGGTGGAAATTGGCTGACGTGTTAATAAAAAAAAAATAAAATAAGCCATAGAGTTGATATTAGCGTCATATTCTCCAACAATAAACTTGCCTCCCCTCCCTCTACCATACACCAACTAGAGTCTTCAATAAAGGTAAGTGTGATGTTAAATGTTCATTTATACATTTTATTAGTGCTTTACATTTATTTGTCATTCTTTTCTGCAAGCAAATCTATAATTAAGCTAGGGTAGTGGCTAGGGAAGTGACCCCAGATAAGAACTTGGTACCTCGAGTCCTTATGGAGGGGGATTCCCCTTCCAAACAATAACCTCTCTTCCCTCTCTCCTCCTCCCTGTCTTCCATCCATTAACAACAGCCTTCAACTGTCATGTTGAATGTTCGTTCTTTTGTGCATGTAAATCTGTCTTTAAGGATAAAAAATTTTTTTGTAGATACTTCTGGGTGTCTGGAACGAATTACAGTGGAACCTCAAATATCGAACTTTCTTCGGTCCAGAAGGCTGTTTGAGTGCCACTACCGAACGAATTTATTCCCATCAGGAATAATGTAAATTAGATTAGTCCATTTAAGACCCTCAAAAATACACTTATAAAAGCACTTACAAAAATACACTTACATAATTGGTTGAGTTGGGAGCAGTTCGATTTTTGAGGTTCCACTGTAATTTGATTTACATTATTTCTTATGGGGAAAAATGATTTCGCAAATCGTCAATTTCGATAACAGTCACACTCTCTGGAACGGATTAATTGCAAAAAACGAGAGACCACTGTAACACAAGTGCAAACAAACAACGGAATGGATGAGTTTAGAACCCATGGTAAGTGAGTCATAAAACTCCAGGCCAGTGCATAAGTCACTCAGCCAGCTGGACTCGGCCAGCTGGCCACAATAAGATTCATCCAACTAGGTATATTTCTATACACCACAGCCATGTTGGTAGGAGATTCATCTGTAAAAACTTTCATTTGTGGTCACAGTGAGGCCCATGCTAACCTCCCTATGGTGTATAGATATATACCTAGTTGGATGAATCTTATTGCAGCCAGCTGGCCAAGTGGTTATGCACTGGCCTGGAGTTTTAAGACTCAATCACCATGGGTTCAATCCCTACCCGTTTCATGGTCTGAGTACTGGAGCTGGGAAGTACAGTGCCTCCACTCTGAAGGACAGGTGGTGACACTGCAGATGGAGGATAATCTGAACTGTGATGTCAGCACACTTTTGGCAAGACACTGAATGAACCCTGGGCTACTTGTGAGTGTTTCCTTTTTAGTTGGCAAACTAACCTTAGATGGTGTTGAGTAGGAGCTATTGTTCTCTCTGTTTTGCCAGCACTGCATCACTATACTCCAGCTAAGTGATAAAAACATATATTTATAACTAAACTGTTATGAACATTTGTTAATGCTCAGTAATAAACCACACAGAGACAAACTCAGGAGATTAATAGATCTGTATATTTCAACCCCCATTCTGGGATCCTCTTTAGCTTACTGATCCTCTTTAGCTTATTGAAATACTGTGAAAATTTTAACTATCTAATGTTAGACAACTTGCATCCCTATACCCAGCTTCACCCTTCAAGGATAGGGAATACAGTGATACTGGTGAAGGGCTCTTCATCCATGGAATTGGAGCTACCCCTTACTTTCTTTAGATGAAATCCGGTTACCTCTCCTTCCGCAGGCACTGTAGGATCTCAATGGGTTTAGAGTTTCCCTGTACATTGGTACCTCGGGATACAAACAGCTCAAAATGCGAACAGTTATGTAGTAAGTGTATTTATGTAAGTGCTTTTGTAAGTGCATTTTTGGGGGTCTGAAACGGATTAATCTAATTTACATTAATCCTTATGGGAACAAATTCGTTCAGTATCAGCACTCAAACAGCCTTCTGGAACGAATTAAGTTCGTATCCCGAGGTACCACTGTATTTTAATAATATACTCAGGTCCCCTCAGTTGTTCAAGACAGTGATTGATTGAGTTATGGTGAATATGTTTCCACTTTTTTGGGGTCAAACTACCTCTATAGGAGATGACCGGTGTTAAAATAGTAACATAATATTGGTTAGGAAGTACTAAACCTGCAGGGATCATATAAGAGAAAGGGAGGTATGAGCTATTCAGCAGCATCAAAGCTCTCTCCTTGAAGGGGGTCACTTGAGCAGTTGCTATTGTGATCTTCTGAATCATTCATTACTTGTACAAAATAAGTATAAACAATAATAAGACCTAAATGTTTGTGTTTTTACTCACAATATCTGCAAGAGTGATAGCTCGATCTTGTACCCCTGCTACTCTCTGGAAAATAATGGAACAAACAACCATTTTTGCCCATGGGGATGAAAGATCCAAGATGAGCTTGATGGTATGGCGTGAATCATAATCTGAAACAGTGAGCATTCTCAAATAGGAAGAAGTTACCTATTTGTAATAAATTACCTATGGCAGTGCTGAAACTCTTATGTCCTATCACCTTTGATTACTATTCTTTTTTTCTGCAAGTGTACTCATTCACTTGTGGTTGCAGGGGTCAGTTCTCAGATCCTGGTCCCACTTTTTAACTTGCCATCTCCAAATTCACTTCCTCTTAGCCTTGTGGACTCTATTATACCTGTTCTCAAAACTATATATGAAGCGTGCATCTACCACTAATTTTAACTGTAGTATTCCACTGAGTTTTTTGGGTTATCCAAGGTAATCTAGAAATGTATGATAATTGCACTGATGTGGACCTGTACCTAAATAAACTCACTGACTAGTGGTCCATAGCTCTTTCTATCTCATCCTCGTTCATTCTTCCCCCACTATAGAGTTCAATATTTCACCAAGCTCTCAATTCAAGGTTTCAGTTCATTTCAAGAGTCATGGAGTAATACATAGTGGCAAGATCATAAGGCAAAATTTACTATGGCTCTACTGTAAGATGATTACTTGAAACAATGCTGGCAATTAAATCCACCTTATCAGTGGAAATTAATGTGTTTTCAGGGAAGAAACTTAAAGGGGCTGACATACAATGTATCTAAATGGACCCTGTGACTGGTTTCAAGAGATTTTTTACCTTTACAACCCAGCCAGGAGCAAGGATTGTCTGTTAAACCAAGTGTCAGGGAAGTAAATGATTAATTCAAAATTTATGTCTAACTTAACATGAGAAAAAATCTTTTTATCTGAACCAAACTGCTAATCTCCAGATATTGATATTCAATGTTTTACATATTGATAATTAATGTAAAACAGTAAGCTAATTACTAAGAAAGTGTCACCATTTTTTAACCAACCTTTCATTCGAAGATGCATCTCATTGCCAGTAGCAAGAAGAGAATCTGGCAATGGACCAGATGGGATCAGAAACTGTTTGTTGGATCTCCATGCAAGTTCCAGTAGCATGCACACAAGTTGCTGCCGAAAAAAGTGTAAATGCATTTCTTGCCTCTTGAAAAATAACTTTGAAACTGAAACTCAACATTAAAAGCTTATTTTGTTGGAAATTATTGAGCTTTTATATATACTGCAACTTTTTTATTATATATTAACACATTTTAAGATCAAAATGACGTACTGTATAAATTCAAACAAAAGCATAAAAAAATACAAGTCAATGTCATAAATGAACTCACATGGAGAAAGAAGATAAAAAAAAATAAAAGAGTACTACTACATATTTTAGACTACAACCGAGGTGCTCTTCAGCTTCCATTAGAAAACAAAATACGTACAGTACACAGCACTCTTCTTTTTTCTATTTGTGGGTTTGTTTGTTATATTGTACACTGTATTTCACAAATAACCCATACCTAAGAGAACCATATGACAATAACTAAGGAGAAAAACCTCATTACAATGTGCGAGTCCATCCTGGCAATGGTCCAGGATGAAGCAAAATACCCACAAGCTAACTTTTAGTGTGGGCTATTTGCTGTTCCTGCTATGGAACATCAAATAGCCCATAGAAATGAAACCCCATGTATAAGCAAGTTTCTTGACTGGTATCTCAAGTCTCATACTCACTGATAAATAATGCTTAATCACTGAGGGGGCTGATGCCATTGAGACCCAGAACTGAATGAGCTGCTTGACCGGCATAGTTGCTGCAGGACTCCGTGAATCACCCCAAAATACTCGCCAAGTAAGAAGTCCCATCACAGTCTCTCTGCGAATGGAAGAAATTTTTCTAGAATTACTGACAAAATTTTAGGTAAGTGGACACATGCGACTAATGTGACATTTTATCCAGGAGCTTTGTCAAGCAGGTTTGACAAAGGTCCTGGAGAGCAAAACATTGCCACAATAAAATATCACATTAGATGCATCTGTGTCCAGTTACTTAACAGAAATTTTTCTGTCCTTAATTCCACAGAAAAAATAAAATTTTACCCCTCATTTACTTGGGGGTAGCAATGATACAAGCAAATAGGTAGAAATGTATAATTATATTCAAGGGGAAGCCCTAAACCTGTATTGGTCATTCGGTGAAACGGCTATTTCATAATTTATGTACACAAACATCTATGGTTTTCTTAAAAATCCCCTTTTAACTTAACAAGGAATTTTGCCATGCTATCCACATCAAATAGTAGTATTATGGAAATAAATCGATATATTTTTTTTTTTTTACGTGCTGGCCATCTCCTAAAGCAGGGTGACCTAAAATGAAAAACAAAAGTTTTTCTTTTTACATTAAGTAATTTTTAAATAGGAGTTACTACTCCTTGCTCCTGGCTTTTTTTAGTCCCCTCTTAAAACCCGCTGGTTTGCGGGGAAGAATTCTTTTCCATTTCCCCCAGGGATAAATTAATAAATATGTAAACTATTTAATCAACATTTTCCGAGTGCACCATCACTTGCTTATGCAGGATGGCGGGAAAATAATGTACTGGGGAGTAACTTGTTCTACTAAAACCCTATGCTTACAATTTCCTTTAGAGATTTGGCAGAAAACTACTATTTCAAAGATAAGGAAACTGTTTGTCGGACACTTGGCAAAACAATGATGGAATGGAATGACAACAAAAGAGTTTCTTCTTTTGGGGGTTACCCTCCCTCAGTGAGAAAGGGCCCCAATTGTTAATTAAAAAAATAAGCAACCATCCAATAAGCTACATCACTTAACATTTTTATATAAATTTATATAATAAGTGTTTTTATTGTTATTTGGGTTATTGTTTTTTTGTATATAATAAAATTCTTCAGGAGAAATTTTCCGGAAACTCTGTGTGCATTAGTATTGATATCAGTTCCCCCTTTTCTTAAAACGTGGTTTTCAGTCTTTATTTTCTGACACTGTGAGGAAACGGTTTTTTAAGGCTTCTAGAATCAGTTTTGTCTCGGCGGGTAGTCATACACACAGCTTTCTCAATCTTGAAAAATGCAGTTGTTTTACCCCCTCTTGCCCCTTGACGTCCTTCTTAAAAAAAAGCAACAAAGGGAAATTTTTGAAATCCCCAAACGAGTGTTTCCCCTACAATGTAGTGTATTTCATCATCACAGTTTATCACACACAGAACTCGAGAAAGGCCCTTTCCTCTAGGTCCAAGTGGTCGCAGGCTTCTAAAAACGAGTGTAGAATTTCCAAGCCCCATGAAAACCCGGCTCTGATTCTGTTGAATTTAAATGGAAGGTTATTAAGTGACAAAATAAATAAAAAAAAAAAGACATAATACTGTAAAACATTTACAGTATAACATTTCCCCCCCCCCAAAAATCGTGTTTTTAAAGGAAACAAAAAAATAATTTAACAAAGGTGTTTCAACTCTTGATATCAAAAAAATATTCTATAAAAAAAAAAAGAACTTGTATTTCAACTTTGGTCAGTGCACATTTTTGTACATCCCGAATACTGAAAACTGCAATGTTTTCCCAACTTCTATGATGCGCTTGGTCTTAATTGCTGCACACATGAGTATGACACGGAAGCCCCATTTTCAGTGTTCACCCTTTCGGTTTTTCTAAAATTACAGCGGTTTTTATTATATCCCTTCTTCATTTATTCAGACTTCCTACAAAAATATATTCATCCTCACTATAAGTTAAGGGTTAAAAATTTTTTAAATAAGGTGGAAATCATGTCTTTTTTGGCTTGCTATATTGTCATTTTAAAATCTGTAGATTAACAGTTTTAAAAAAATCCAATTTAAGGGCTAAAAAAGGCAGATTATTATTATTAGCAATTTAACCCCTTTTAGGGTCCAAAGGCAAAATCTGAAGTGGTGCCCAGTGTCAAGAAAATTAAAAAAAAAAATTTTTTTTTTTTTCAGAAATGGTAGAAATCTTTTGTGAATGTAATAAACAAAAAGTACGAAAATTTTATGGGAAAATGACGAAAAATGCTCTCGTAAATTTTTAGTGTCAGGATATTTTCGAATCGGCGAATTTTCCCACTTTTACTCCCCTTTTTTCCAATTTTCATTATTCCAGTCGACCAAAATTTTAGTATTTCACTAGATTACTTCTATTTTCGATTGAGCACAAGAAATCAAGTCAATGTTTCAAAACAAAATAAATGACGGAAATTTGGGATTTTGGCCAATTTACACAAAGTTTAAAATTTCCAATTTCAAAAAAGGGTTTAGAATAAAAAAATGTAGGGTTTCCCGGGACTAAAATAACATTTCCTTGTTCTTAGTTACGTTTTGAGGCTTTACAAAAAAATTCCTTTTTATTTTTTATTCACTAATGAATTTTTATTCACACCAAAAAATGAAATTTATGTTATGCAATTTGTAATAAATTTTATAAATATCTACCATTTTGAAAGTATATTAGACCCACCAGCTGGCGTGTATTAGACGTGTGAGGTCGTTTGTTTACTCTTGAACATCGGCAAAAAATTTAAAATTTCCGCCACTTTGAGCTCAGTTTCAAGCCATTTCCAGTGCTAAAACCAATCAAAATTATCTCTATTTCTGTAATATGTCTTCCATTCTATCAAATGAGACCAAGAAATCACAAATACAACTATAAAAAACATACGAAAAAACACTGCAAAGTCGCTGTTTTAATCGAAAATCACGGTCTCAGTTTTTTTCCTCTCATTATACACAGTGTGCTGCAGGATTTGTTTTATGTGGTGCACACATACCACATAGATGTATTCTCTCATATCTAGGCCCAAATTTACCACTCACAGTTTATCAGAGTGAGCTGAGCTCATGACGTAGATCTACGGTTTGGACACTGAACGTAAAGCTGTAGATCTACGGGACGGACCCTGAAAGGGTTAAGCACTACTTCCTTAGGGTCATACTGCAATAAGAGGGAGAGGGTATCCATTAATGCCAATTGTCTTATATATCAAAATGAGTTTACAGTAGTCTCTTATGAACATGGACTGTCCACTACTGTCATATTCCACTCACCCAGAGGATTTTATATATTAATTCTGAAATCCGTTAAACTGAGGCCTGTAGAATAGAGGTTTTATAGTAATAGTGCATGTGAATGAATATATGTCTGAAAAATACTGTGCTGTACAGTATAATGAAAATTATTATTAGTATTATAATCATTAATTTTCTTCTTTTGCACACCCTACCAAATTCATCCACCAATCTCTGCAACTTCTCTTCAGAATCTCCCAAGAGCACAGTGTCATCAGCACAGAGCAGCTGTGACAACTCCCACTTTGTGTAAAAGATAAAGAATCACACACAAAGTGGGAGTTGTCACAGCTGCTCTTTGCTGATGACACTGTGCTCTTGGGAGATTCTGAAGAGAAGTTGCAGAGATTGGTGGATGAATTTGGTAGGGTGTGCAAAAGAAGAAAATTAAAGGTGAATACAGGAAAGAGTAAGGTTATGAGGATAACAAAAAGATTAGGTGATGAAAGATTGAATATCAGATTGGAGGAATAGAGTATGGAGGAGGTGAATGTATTCAGATATTTGGGAGTGGACGTGTCAGCGGATGGGTCTATGAAAGATGAGGTGAATCATAGAATTGATGAGGGGAAAAGAGTGAGTGGTGCACTTAGGAGTCTGTAGAGACAAAGAACTTTGTCCTTGGAGGCAAAGAGGGGAATGTATGAGAGTATAGTTTTACCAACACTCTTATATGGGTGTGAAGCATGGGTGATGAATGTTGCAGCGAGGAGAAGGCTAGAGGCAGTGGAGATGTCATGTCTGAGGGCAATGTGTGGTGTGAATATAATGCAGAGAATTCGTAGTTTGGAAGTTAGGAGGAGGTGCGGGATTACCAAAACTGTTGTCCAGAGGGCTGAGGAAGGGTTGTTGAGGTGGTTCGGACATGTAGAGAGAATGGAGCGAAACAGAATGACTTCAAGAGTGTATCAGTCTGTAGTGGAAGGAAGGCGGGGTAGGGGTCGGCCTAGGAAAGGTTGGAGAGAGGGGGTAAAGGAGGTTTTGTGTGCGAGGGGCTTGGACTTCCAGCAGGCATGCGTGAGCGTGTTTGATAGGAGTGAATAAAGACAAATGGTTTTTAATACTTGACGTGCTGTTGGAGTGTGAGCAAAGTAACATTTATGAAGGGGTTCAGGGAAACCGGCAGGCCGGACTTGAGTCCTGGAGATGGGAAGTACAGTGCCTGCACTCTGAAGGAGGGGTGTTAATGTTGCAGTTTAAAAACTGTAGTGTAAAGCACCCTTCTGGCAAGACAGTGATGGAGTGAATGATGGTGAAAGTTTTTCTTTTTCGGGCCACCCTGCCTTGGTGGGAATCGGCCAGTGTGATAATAAAATAATAATAATAATATTATAATCATGGGGGAGCGCTAAACCTGTAGGGATTATACAGCGCCTGTGGATGGGGGGGAGGACTTGGAAGGTATTCAGGATCAATTCAAGGAACTGGAGCACAGATCCAATTCCCTAGATCAAGAGCCCCTCACCAGCATCAAGGAACCTCCATTGAGGGGTGTATAATAAAAAATAGAGAGAAATACTCATACCTGCATGGTAGAATTCAAGACTCTGAGGTAATAGGCTCGCATACTGGAATTAACTGGAGGGTGGAATGCCAAAATATAATAGGCAAGTCCAAGGCTTCGCGAATGCACAATTCTGAAACAAGTCTGTTGAAGGATAAAAATTTAACATTACAAAATATAATTTAACTCACTCCATATCTGGCAGTGAGTATTCCAAGTACATGCACAGTCAATCCAATCCTAAATGTCTTCCTTAGCTGAATGAGGAATATTTTAACACAAGCCTTTGACAAGTGTAATTAACTAAAATGTCCCCCCTCTCTTCACTCAGTACAGAGCCATTCATAACCGTATTCATTTTGATCAAGAGGAAACACTAAACATGTAGGAATCAAACAGTGCCTGAGGAATACCTTATGCTACATCAACAGCAGCTAGGCTTGCATTCCATAATTTATGCCCAGCATCCAACAACTCTTGAAATATTATCTAATTTTTACATATACAGCCTCTCCTCACTTAAGGACAGAGTTCTGTTCCTAAGACCACGTCAGTAAACAAATTCGTCACTAAGCAAGGAGCATACTATAATGGTAGTGGATTTGTGTCACCCATCTTTGGTATTGCTTTACTATCACCTTTGCACCATTTATAACATTTTTAGTAAACTTTTAAACCTTTATACAGTAGTATACTGTATATTGTAATAAACAGAACAGAGGAAATCAGCTCTAATATGTATAAATTATTTAGGTATGCATACTGGTCAGAGAGCCCATTGTAAGTCCAAGTTGTTGGTGAACAAGTACATCACAAAGTGAAAAGAGGCTGTATATTCGTGGAAGGATGCTAGACCTCTAAAGAACAAAGTGCCTTGGGAATGGAAGGGAAGCAAAGCAATCAGTTTTGATCCAAGGAAAGGGAGGAAAGCTTCAAATAATTGGATTGAGAGCCCTTCACCAGCACAAAATAATCTCATGAAAAAAAAGAAAAAAGCTGATGAACATCTTGATGTAATGACAGAATTTAGGAGTGCAAGAGAATGAATAATGTACAGTACAGTACCGTACTCTGAAGGCAATAACGATTATTTTTGCTTTAAAGTTTTTAAAAAACATGCCTAAATATAGAAAATGATAATACAGAAAGACTGAAATTTTTTAAACACATCAGTCAGCCATTTCCCACAAAGGCAGGGTGACTCAAAGAAAACTACATTACCTGTATACTGCAGAAAAGAAATAAATTTATTATTATTATTATTATTAATAATATTTATTCAATACCTCTCTTGCCAGAAGCAAGCTGGCATCACAATTCAGATTACCCTCCAATTGTAGCATCCCCACCCTTCCTTCTGAGTGCAGGCACTGCATTATCATTATGATTATTATTATAATTATTGATACTCCTGGAGAGGTAGATTCATACGAACCATTGAAGGCTACACAAGAAATGGCAGAGGAAGAGAAGCAGAGGCGTGATAAGACATCAACAGAAAGGACAGGAGTGTTGCAGTTGATACAGCAAATATGTCACTCAAGAAATCATTCATAGAAGAGAAACTTAAAGTAAGACTATCAAAAGAGATATCTAATGGTAATAATAATAAGTATAATTTTTAAAGGGATGGACCAGTAAGCCAGCAGAAGGCCTCGGTCAGATGACCAAAAGGTCCAGCTGTGCATCTTCATATGACTAAGACCTGCATCAGGAAACACTTGTCCTGTTTCCTGACAAACCTTACCTAGCCATCAAAGAGGAGGGCAAGACCAAGTAATCATGTTAAAAGACCAGGATAATAACACAGATTAAGTCACTATCCTTCACAAGAGAAAGGTTATAAGGCACATCTAAGTAACACTTAAATGAACTATTGTAATTATATTTCAAATAAATATATCTTACCTCAAAAACAAATTTCTTCAAAAGATCAGCAAACAGCTGAACAGGAAGGTAAGTATTTGGTGATATGTTCAGGTACAAGGACTCCAAACCATGAACAATGTGTTCGTATTCCCGCACGTCGTCTAAACTGGACTCATAATACGAGGTCTCATAAACAGTTAGTTCTCTAATTTCACTAGAACACTTAATATGATTCGGAGGATACAACATTTGATCACTGTCTAAGTCTTCTGTCTCATCACATGAAGTATTGTTTTGAGAATCACTTTGAGAATCTATCAAACACTGAGAGATGTCAGCACAATATACAGCTATGTTATTGAGAGAGGCAGATTTAATCATTGTCACCAGGGCCTTCTTTAAATCATCTTCTGTTATTACCAACTGGCAAGTTGAATCACTTTCTCCAATGAGAGTTCGCCCAGGCTTCACTCCCTCGCAACTGACAGATGGCCGTTTCCCTTTCTTGCAATTATTCTGCAATTCGTCAATTCTGGTGCCAAGATTAACGCGGACATCTTTTAACATCCAGGCTGGAACAAATTGTGACTTTGAATTATTAGATAATGAAGAACTATTTGTCAAGTTCCGGGTACATACTTGTTCATTTCTCGAGAAACTTTTATTGCCAGTGTCTTGCTTTGAAGTTATATCATAACACTTTGAAGAGGAAATGTCATTACTACTGATACTTTTTGTATTTTTCTCTGCTTGTCTGAGTTTATTTTTCTCAACTAGTTCATTATATCTAGTTCTAATGTGCAGACGCTCCTTTTCCGTAAAATCAAAGCTTACATATCTTTTCTTAGGCAGACACTTCCCAGACCCGACTACACCAGTTATGAAGCAGTCATCATCATTGCCTGCTTGAGCTGGTTTACCTTGTATCTCATCCACAACTACCACTTCATCACCCTGCGGTTGAAAATTCCCTCTCTGCTCTTCACCTTGTATTAATCTTCTCACGGAACTACTGCCAGCATTCCCAAGATGTTTGGCCTCGCTCTCAAAATAGTTTAAAATAGAATAATGCTTTTCTGGGGTAAAAGGAATGTTCAGGAATTTCCTCTTCATATTCTTCCCTGGTTCTTGACAAACCTGAGACGAGGCACACAGATTTTTGCCGGGAGACTTTGTCAACCACTGGTTCAGTCGAGATGATACTTCAGTTTGAACCTGAGGAAGGATCACACATACATTATTTTTGGGTGGAGACAAATGACACTGCCAAACAGTGGTCAAAAAGACAATTGCCGAAAGGAACTTCATTGATACACTTTGCCTGCCTGTGGAACAGGCAAAAACATCTTGAATAGCCTTTTTAATCACATTATATTTAAACAGCATAACATGTGATATATACATTCATATTTGTTAACTTTTATATTCATTGGGAAGCACCAAGACCACAGGGGTCATACACTCATTCTTGAAAAGAAAAAAAATATAATTATGGAGAAGCTTTCAACCAAAGGAGTATTAAAGGACATGAAAGCTCTCGATCCCTCAAATCGACAGCCTTTGCTGGCATTCAGGCACTTTAGTTTACAAGATTACAAGAGCTCAAATTCAAATACGTAAAGACAAATTAATAGTTCTCATTTAGTATCTATTTTATCCCACTATTTAGCATGACTAAAAAGAAACAAATGTTGAAGAGCTTCATACTAATTTTCATTTGGTCAAAATGAAAATTTCAGTCATAATATAGGAAAATTAATTGGCACTATACAACTGACATCAATTTACAATAAAGCCATTTTTAAAGCTGAGAGATAAATGTTACTAATACTTTTTTATCAAACT